CATACCAAAAACCACTCATTCGTTTGGCTTCATCGAAGGTTTGATAGCCGTTGGCTCGACAAAAATGATGCATGTCTGGAATCCATTTTTGTTGACGTGGTTCTTCAATAAGTCTGCCCATCTCAAATCCTCCAGCAATTCGATGTGGATTTTGGTATAAATCTGAGTGTAAACGCAATACAGTGCTGTACAGTCCACACCAATCCAACTCCTTCAATGTTCCATGTCGTATTGCATCAAATTGATTGGACGAAAAACGTGCCAGTGGATGCGACACCCACAAATGGTGTCCGAGGTGTTCCAATTGTGGATGCTTAAATTCCATAATCTGTAGTACACTGGAAGAGATAAACTTTTCTGGTTGTCGTCCAATTTTGAAACATACTGATTTTGTTTGAGTCTCTGCAGAAACTTTTGGAAGTTCTGAGTTCCCCACTGATGTACGAAAGTGCCGAGCTGAGATGGAATCGTACCAGACTTGTCCAGGGGATCCGGACCACGTTCCGATCTTGGAGGTCCCAATACATTTTCACTGCGAAATCGTTTCGATGGCCGTTCTGAGGTCGTTACCCGATCAGTCAGAGCAGGTGTAACTGATGTCGCGATTTGTCCCGAAGAATTGGGAAAGGTCAAATGTAAGCCAGGTATCCAACCTGTTTGATTTCCTGCATGCGTCAAATTGGCAAATTGAGAGATAATCCCAAGCTGATGAAATTGATTTTGAGCTTGAAGTATTCCCAATTGGCATTGATGTTCCTGAACCTGTAGACTGTGCATCTGAATAGCCTGATCATTCTGAATAACACGTTGTGCCATGAGTGATGCCTCTCCGCGAGGTACTCTGAATTCAAACTCGCCAGTGAATCCCCGATAATGAAAACTGACATCTTCAGTGGTACGTCTGCTAGCTGGTGTGGCCCAAGTAGGAATTGGATCACGAGGTGGGGGACCCATGGACTTCGGAACTACGCCGGTCGGTATCATGGTAATGTTGATAATGTCCATATATGAAAACGAAGGCAAAAGAGAAAAAAGGAAAAACAATAAATTGAAGCAGACAACAACCACCTGTAATGTTGATAATGTCCATATATGAAAACGAAGGCAAAAGAGAAAAAAGGAAAAACAATAAAATTGAAGCAGACAACAACCACCTGTAACATTGAAGGATGTTGGTTTAAAACAATGACATCTTGCAGCAACTGTCGCTTCAGAGCCAACATATTGGGTACATTGTTCATGACATTCAAAAGCAAACATATAAAGGTCACAAAAATGTCAAACAGCGAGAATTGTGAAAGAATCAGAACGTTTTTTGAACTGCAAGCTGTGATTCTGTAAGGATCGGACCTGGGTAAGACAACAGGTGAGACCCCCCGAAGGGTTAATCCATCCCTATAGGGATTAATCCTGGTCCTTCGAAGGGACTAATCCGTCCATCGTTGGGACTAATCCGTTGAAGTATGACAAATTGTCATAATTCGCTCCTAAAGTGGAGTAATCCTGTGATTGACATAACAACCACGTCGAATCCGGATTGTCCCAATTGGACATTCCACTATCCACCGGAGCGGCCGGTGACCAGATCTAGACCCGCACGAAGCAGATCGACGGTGCTCACAAGTCAGTGAGTTCACCCAAACACACTGCTTAGGTTGATTTGATGATGATGAGAGTAGAACTTGCCGTCGCCTGATTTCCTAAGTCACCTTCGATGGGGCACGGTTGCAAACGGTGAAATTCGGGCAATCGATTCTTGCCAAAGGACTCAAAAACAAGGTAATAGAACAGCTTGTGCAAAAGTTCGAACCAACATTGCAGGTACGCCAACCCAGCGTCCCAGGTTGATATCACTGTGACATCAGAAGCGTCTTCGTTGGCTGGAGACTTCTGATTCACACTCCAGCCCCCTGCATGTCTGAATTAAAATTCAGTTCTTATTGTCGCCACATATTGTCTTCCTTGCTTCGTTGTACGAAATTGTAAAATATCCGTATGTTATAACGGGTTTCACACACACACACGCACACACACACACGCACACACACACACACGCCCCACTAGGGGGCAAAGCTTGTTGTGACAATTGCGCGGGCATTACACACACACACACACGCAAATCTGTGGCATCTTAGCATTCATATCATCATGTTCAAACTGGATTGAGTTGGCAATAGGTTCACGTAGCGCTGGCTGAGTTTTCTCTTGTTTCATGAAAATCATGCAAGACATGCGCATCGAACGCCATGAAACACAATAGGGCCATTCTTTTCGACAAGCAGGACGAAGTTCATCTTGCTGGCTGCTTTGTCGATGTGAGGCGGTTTCCACAGTGAAGCGCGCTCTAGCACTTGCCTGGCAGGTCAAACTCAACACTCGCAGAACATGCCGCGGTGGGCTGCATCAAGTAAGCTCTCTTCCCTCAAACATCTTAAACCTCCCTACAAGAAAAGGGCTCTTGGCAAGATACCAATAATATCACAATCTGCTCAATATATCTCAATATAGCATATTTAGAATTACCAGTAGTACCGCACAAGGCAGTGGCGGAAGTTTCAAAAATAGGAAACCTATAGGAGATTGGTTGCTGCGAATCACGGATGGCAAAGCGAATCCACTGATGGACCGAAAGGTGCTTGAGGTCTCCTCTCTTTCTCTCTCTGTTCTGACTATCTACCTACGTACCTACCTATCTATCTTCTTTGTATTTATCTACCTATCGATCTATCTATCTCTCTCTCTTTCATCTAAGTACCTACTATCTATCTATCTATCTATCTTTCTTTCTTTCTATCTATCTAATTTCTCTCTCTCTCTCTCTCTTTCATCTGTCAATCTGTCTAGCTGTCTACCTGTCTATCTGTCTGTCTGTCTACCTGTCTATCTGTGGTGCAGTGTCATTCAGTGTAGTGGAGTGTAGTGGAGTCTAGTGTAGTGTAGCGTAATGTAGTGTAGTGTAGTGGAGTGTAGTGTAGTGTGATACTGTCATGTAGTGTAGTGTACTTGAGTGTACTTGAGTGTAGTGTAGTGGAGTGTAGTGTAGTGTAGTGCAATGTAGTGTAGTGTAGTGGAGCGTAGTGTAGTGTAATGTTGTGTAGTGTAGTGTAACGTAGTGTAGTAGAAGGTAGTGTAGTGTAATGTAGTGTAGTAGAAGGTAGTGCGTGTAATTGTGTGTACTTGAGTGTAGCGTAGTGGAGTGTAATGTAATGGAATGTAGTGAAGGCGTAGTTGTAGTTGTAGTGTAGTGTAGCGTGGTGTGGCGTAGTGGTGGTTGTAGTTGAAACTGCTACAAAACCGTCACGCCTGCTCATTTTTGAAAAGGTGCACAATCCCTTGCGCCTGCCACGCGAAACGACATCTGAACCTCGAAAAGTGGTCCGAACCCCTGGTGCTTTTAACATTTTGACTTGGAAATGTGCTTCGCGCCACAAAGGCGTGCACTTTTTCGACATCTCAACTTCCAAAAGTGGTCCCAAGCTGGTGTGCTTTGTACATTTTGGCTTGGAAATGTGCTTTTTGCCACAACGGCGTGCAATTTTTCATCTCCCATCTGGCCAGCTAGCTCCGCACCCGCCACTTTAGCGAGCCTACTTTTCGACCCTCCAGAGCCTCAAACCATTGGAAAAACACAGTGTTTCGCGACTTCCCTACCTTTTCGCGCATCTGCATCTTCTTTCTTCTGACTCTTTCTCTTCTACTCTTCTCTCTTCTAATCTTTTCTCTCCTCTCTGCCTCTGCCCTACTCTGCTTTTCATCTGTCCATATTGTCGGAAGTTTGACTTCCAAACTTCCTTCGATTAAGATATATTTTGATTTTGGGAGACATGGTGAAACACGGCGAGACATGGTGAGACATCATGAGACATTGACACGTGCAATGCGGGCACCTGGAGTTCCAGCTGCACCTCCGCAAGGAAGGCAAGATTCTGCAAGATTCCGAAAGCTATCGATGATATAAATGATATGGATAGTAGATTATTATAGACTATTGTAGATAATTATAGATGATATAGATGTATAGATACCTACATCCAACTGTCCGAAACATCTGCCGGCTTCTGAAATGCAAACAATTAAAACTGCCGTTTCAGGGAAGAAAAGCTCGCACTATCTCCAATCAGAAAGCACACATACAGGAAAAGACAGAAAAACAAGTCAGGGCCTTCGGTGAATTCTATGTATGGAGCACTTAAGCTTTTAAGGACGCTCTTTTCCAGGGGAAGCCCAGGTGTTGCATCATAAGTAGAATAGTAGAATTGTTTTCCAATCGTTCAGGGATTTATGAAAGCTCACCACTTGCAGTGGAGAAAAATCTGGAAAAAAAGTCAGATCATCATAATGAGGTACCTTGCTGATACAACATAATGTATCATCATAATTGTTGGATTTATACCCAAAAATCTGTGTTGCCCCCAAGATCTTTGGTCGCTATAGAACTACAGAGATTCTCTCAGGATTTTTGTTGGTGATGTCCTGAGTATAGTATATACAGTATATCCCTATAGATCCTATAGTGATCCCCAAAACAACCAGAGACGCCGATTTCATCCGATTTCTGCATTTCCAGGATGTCGCTTCGATGATGTGTTCCCCATAATTTCCAGCTATTCAGCTGTTCTATCGACCCGAAAGGGGCATCTTGACCGCAGGACTCGGACCCGGACCTGTGAAGGCAGATCCCTTTTCATTGACAGCTTGGATGCCTGGGGACTGCTGAAGTGGGATAAATGTTGGTCGAAATTTTGAGTAAGCCACAAAAAACATGGTTTCAACTACAGTATAGATGTTCAAAAACTTTTTGGCAATTCTGGATAAGATGATTATCCTCAGTCGAAGACTCGAAGATATGGAAAATCACCAGTTGCAATAGGTAAATCATCGAACTAAATCTGGTTGGTGGTTGAGCCTACCCCTTTGAAAAATATGAGTTCGTCAGTTGGGATTATTAATTATTCCCAATATATGGAAAGTCATAAAATTCCATGGTTCCAGTCACCACCAATCAGGTCCATGGTCCATTTTCATCCATTTTCCATAGCAATGTTCGTTTTTCCCAAGGGTAAGCAGCAACTCTGGGCTTGCCACAGCTCGCCAAGACATTGATCATCTCTCCCAGTCGCGTGCTGCCGAGCCAGGAGCATGGATCAAATCCGGCATCCCCACCTGAGCATCCCTGGGCAATCGCTGGGCACTTGTAGGTGTGCCCAGCATTTCCCGTGCTTCACGGACTTCAGGTGCTCCTAAGCCGCTTGGTGAAGTGAAGGGATGAGCTGTTTTTATGCACCGCAGTCGCTGGGCCACCCAAACCAGGGGCCAGATCCAGTACTTGTCATTCAGGTGCACAAAGCCCATAATCTCCAGAAGGCCTGGATTGTTCAAGGCTGAGGAACAGATGGAACAGAAACAAGGACAGAATCCTTTCCTAAATCGGAAGACAAGCAGACCAACTGCCGCGAAATTTCGAGTGGGCCTCCCCAGAATTGGCAGGATAATCCAAGATAAAAAGACTCTTCACATTTGTCGCTCCAATCCTATGTTCAATCATCAAAATCTCGTTTTGTCTCCATCCAAATCTCTAAATCTCTGCGTTAACCAAACCACCAACCCCTGACCCTGGGCCACCATGTGGGGGGCGAGTTTTTCGCTGGGGAACTCAGGAACTACCGAGGCCCCGAGCGACAGGTGTACTTGTTGTGCCCTGCTGCCCCCACTGCATAGCGGAACCTGAACACCGACACCACACTTAAGCGACCGACACCCTTTGGTGGAAATCCAACACTGATTTCCGGAGTTTCTGAGATGTTCATTCTTCATTGTCAATACTCAAATGATCAATTCAGGGAATTGATTCCGGAACAGTTGAACCAACAATAATGGCATGGTTGAACAAATCACAAGTGGGGATAAGAACGCACAATTTTGGAGATTAAGACACAAAATACTCAAAAGTTGTGGGTCTGCGGGTGGAATGCTCCTTGGCCACATGCAGATAGGTGCAGCACGTGCATTTATGACCCGCAGAGCTGATACCGAGGCTTGTGCGCTGGGTCATCGTCGTGCCACAAAGTTCCGGCCGTCTCGGGCTTGTTTTCCTGCGGCCAAAATCCCCATGGTCACGGCTCGAAAAGCCGCTTGCGCAAAGTATCGCAGGCTGGACCCGGCTTCCAAACATCCACAGCATCGAGATGGCCAGTCCCTGATGAAGGACGAGAACTCGTGGAAGGGCATGTTGCGGTACACGTCCCGCAAGGCCTCGGCCAGATCGACTGAGATGGAGGCGAAGCAGCTTCCCAGAGGTAACTTGACGTAAGCAGTATTTCTGACTACCCCCACTTTGAAGTGGGAAATTTGCATGGTTTGTATTAAAATTATCCCCCATTTTTCTGGTATGTATAACCTGATCTTTAATATATCACCAAGCGGTCAAGTACCATCGCACCCCTCAGCCCCCGCACCCGGCGCACGGCCAGCTCCCCCACCTGAGTCCTGGTCTGCATGGCTAAGCTTGGATACTCTGCAAAAAGATACTGCTGGTTGCAGGTTATTTGTATTCCGACTACTCCTGTATTCATGGCATTTTTGATCAGAGCATTAAACTGCCCAAGAATGATTACTTAGTGGATATAAGGGAAAATAATCTTAGTTCAGAAAACTTGCTGACCATGACTACAAAAAGGGTTCAAATTCCACCAAAATCCCATAGTTTCTGCAGATAGGGTGGACCCTACACCTGGTTTTCCAGACACGGTACCCCGGGACAGGTCCTGCTTCCTCGTTGGGGTTTGTTCAACACCTGTCGTTTGAAGGGGCCTGACACCTCCACCGCTTCTCGCGCTTGACGTCGTCCTGGCAGGAAGCAATCTTCGGTAGCGTCCTAGCTTGCCTTGCTTGACAGCCCGGACTCATTCAAAGTGTGGGCATGTCCAAAGGTGGCCTTTATAATTGGCTTCCCCTACCAGGATCTAGTCCAAGTCAACTAGATTATCCCAAAAAATGATGAAGAGTAAAAGACTCCTGAAGCCACCAACCAGTCTCCATGACTGGTGACCTTCAAGTAGTTCCCCCATCTTGGGATATACACCCCACATCTTCACCCCGTGCCGCACCCTGGACCTTCCCAAATTTCCTTGACTGGAACCTGCAGCACCAGGCATCACCAAGGGTTTCTTCACAGCCTTCATGGGGGTTCCCCATGTTAACAAGAAAAGTCGGCCTCCATGAGCCGCCGCAGCGCTGAGTCGCTGTTGATGGCAACACGCCTGAGCTCGTACCAAAGAAATGCTTGGGTCCAATCAGAAAACACTGTGGCTTGGGAGATTATGGGCAAAGCTGTTGGGGGAATATGTCCTAACCTTTACTAGATCTGCTGGTTAGATATTGGGAATATTTACTACCCTCTGGTAAACTAACATAACTATGGAAAATCACAAGTTTTTATGGGAAAATCCACTACTTCTATGGCCATTTTCAATAGCTATGTTAAATTACCAGAGGGTAACCAATGTTAGGGAAAACCTTCTGCCAAGTGACGAGGGAGCTCTGCTGGTGGCTGCTGCCTGGGTCTCTTCCAACTCATCCAGTAGGAAGGCTTGAGCCTGGGGCATCCCCGCTCGGAAGTCGACCATATGTGGAACGTTACACTGGGAAAATGATATTATATACATGGGTGTGTCTGAAAATAGTGTACCCCTAAACCCAACGGTTAATGATCATTATCCCTATTAAATGGCTATAATTGGGAATATACCCTATTTTCAGACAAACCCACATGATATTACATTCCACCATATAACTGGGAATGTTCCACATCCAAATTACCATATGACATCCCAAGAAACACCCCTAGCTATACGGGGAATATGCCCAATTATATATGGCGGATACACCAATTACTGACTGAAAAGCACATCCAAGTAGGTACGTATGATGTTATGTTGATGTTTAATGAATGGTTGTGCTCGCTGTTCACGTTCTTGTGCAAATGGTTTTGGGGGAGGTTTGATGCCAAATTTCACTGTCAGCATTTTGATTGGATGAGGGTTTCACGCTCAATTGCTTCGTAAGATGTTTTGTTAAGAAATCTAGTTCTAGTAGTAATAGTAGTGGTAGTAGTAGTAGTAGTAGTCGTCGTCGTCGTAGTAGTGGTGGTGGTGGTGGTGGTAGTGGTAGTGGTAGTAGTAGTTGTTCTTGTTAGTAGTGGTGGTGGTGGTGGTGGTAGTGGTAGTGGTAGTAGTAGTTGTTCTTGTTCTTGTTCTTGTTCTTGTTCTTGCTCTTGCTCTTGCTGTTGCTGTTGCTGTTGCTGTTGCTGTTGCTGTTGCTGTTGGTGTTGTTGTTGTTGTTGTGCTATCCATGTTCCTATTCTATCCCACCAGCGTTCATAGGGTTAAAGTCTCCCATCGCTGTCCAATTTCTTACCACAATCAATGTTCATACATTTCTATCTTAAGTTTTCATACAATTTTATCAACCTGTACTTTGTGCATGAAACGGTCAATAGTGGCGCTTCACAGGACAAAATATATTGAAGCCATAGTTACCATAGTTCTCAAAAGTCCTCGTTCGTTGAACCTGTTGCAATACGTGAGCCTTGCTTAAGCCAACACCAAGCCATATCAACTACAGACGTATGATCAAACCACCATTTCTTTTTGCTGCAAGTCCCATCCATTCTCTCAAGGCCTCTCTATTTGGGGGGCATGTGTGCCCAACATCATGGAAAAAACAAATATAATAAATGTGTATTTATATATATATATATATCACAACAGGGTACCTTCAGATCTCCAATCATTTGTGTGTGGTGTTTGTTTCTTATTCTCGAATGTTTGGCCACTATCTCAACGACTCACATCAAAATAATGTACGGACCAATCTAGTGATGACAAGACAAAAAACATTCAAAGACCTTGACGGGAACAGCACGTGCTCACGCCGATCAATTTGAGACTAACTACAATGAATCTTAGCACAGATTTCACCCGAACTCCCACCTCAATATCCTCAACATGAAGGATCAAATGTTGAACAGTAACATCAACATAGAATCATGAGAAGCAACATATTTATTTATATATATATATACACTTCCCGGAGACCGCTATTTTACTTTTTTTGGCAATCATAGAAATGAAGAATGAAACTGGTGTTCCTTTCAAGGAAAAGCATCGGTTTCGCTTTGCAATGTGATTTTCTCAGAAGGGAGACAATCGACAGTCACATGTACAGAGACAGTCACAACACTCACGTCCCTCCTCCTTTTTCCTGCTACATCCACTATGGCCAATTCTTAGATACACTGAAGGATATATTTTCTTAGCTAGTCAATACGTTAATCTATGGCCAAAGATCGAAGTACCAATACCAAAATATCCTTCACCATTTGGGTTACCTACATTTTAATGCTGAAACCTCCTGTTGATCAAATTACATGTTGTGTTGGTTCAATCTCCATTTTTCTTGTGCTTGAACCCCTGTTTCTGTTGGAACATGTCCCATTTTTCATGCTGAAAATCAAGGTTTCCATAGGTTTCCCCACGCTTTCCCCAGCGTTTCAACCACCGCCGTCGTCACATCACCAAGGCGCATCGAACTCCGTCATGTCCGACGGCGCGTCGTCGGAGAGTTCCGCAGAGTCCACGGAGCGCTCGGACTCCGCCACACTGCGGTCCTGGGGCTCCGACCAAGATAGATAGGTAGATAGGTATAGATAGATAGATGATATATGATATATGATATATATATATATGATAGATATATATATATATACATAATTATACATGGTTTATGGATGTTTATGGTTATCCCACATGCGGAATTCCTTTGTCATGGGTAAATCCTGAACTTAATGGATTGATGATAATCCCCCGATATGGGTGCATCATCCATCTTTTGACCGTGGCACATGTGGAAAACATGGTAGTAAATTCGATGCTCAACCCTAAAAATCAAGAAAAGGACACCCGACATTACTTCTTGCTTTGCAAAATTGGTTTAACCGACAAATATCGACAAATGACGGGAAACAATCCGGAAAGAAATGGGACTTTGGTGGATTTTTTGATGAAAATAGGGAGTTGAACCTGCAAAGTGTGGGATTTGCCGAAAAAAAAAAAGGGATGGTTGAACGGAGCTGGAAATCCAGATGCTGGGTTGGCCTTCCTGGGATGGCACCTCCACTGGGTTTTTTGAGGTGTCAGCTTCCAGTGGAGGTTTCATGGGAATTCCAGTGGGATTTTTCAGGTGTAAACTGGTGTAAAACAAACAAAAAAAGATGTTCCAAAAGCAGACCAGATTGGAATCCCATCCAGAAAAAACTGTCCAGTTCACTGTCCTCAATGCCATCCAGTTTGTTCACTTGCTGACAGTCATACTCGGACAGGCTCACCTGACTGGCTCCCGAGGGGATGGCCGGATAGCAGACATGCCAATCTTGGATGCATTTCTGTACATAAGAGATAGATAAATAGACTTGATATGACTTGATTAGATTTAGAAATTTAGATTCGGATGTAGCTTTGGATTCTGATGTAGATTTGGATTTAGAATCTAGAATTAGATTCTGATTAGATACACAAACAGACAGATAGATAGATGGATAGATAGATCAATAGACACGACTCCAACGGCACTTACTCTGTGGGATGAGCAGGGTGGGACAAATCCCCTCAACGATCCAATCGAATCGTTTCCCAGGTTCCATGAGAGATTTCCGACCGGAGAAAAAAAAACTCGTCGGGCTTCATTCCGATATTTCTTTCCTATAACCCCAGGTTGAGGTAATCCCACAGGCTGCAAGTCACTGCGGGAACCATACTTGAAACAATGATTTAGTAGAAACAACGATAAACATAACCCTTCAATAATCAGGTTTTGACAAATGAACGGAAACTGGGTCTTTAGACCTAACAGACGCACGATAAACTCTGAGAAATTGGGGTCAATGATAGGACGGTCCACCTGGTCGAAGCCGGCTACATGGCTAGATTCCCAGATAGGATTCACCCAAAATCAACCAAGGATTCAGTGGAGTCTCATTTTATTATACCATAATACCATAGCAAAATCGGATCAATACATCCCACGATTAGTGACCAAAATGTCATGGTTTACGAGGAAAGGTGTAAAGTTTAGTCCCAGGTGGTGACCAAAACTTTGTCCATTGGAACCCAATGTCTGCTTTACTACATGTGCGCTCTGGTCAAGTTACATCATGAACATAATTCCAGACATCGGGGAAATGTAAGCCCTAAGAAAAATTGGGGGAGAACATGGGAGAACCATCGGCAAGCATCGGCAAAAGAAGCTTCGTAACTTGTCTAACTTGTCCATATGGCCCCTTCCGGCGCCTTCTTCAGCAAGGTCTTCAGCTCCAGCGTGCTATCCATGGCACCAGTCATGGCCCCGCCAGGGCGCAGCAGCGTTAACTGCTCGGTAGCCTGGAAGACAACCCAAGGGTCGCTGGTAGCATTGCTGCAGTGGAGTAGGGGCATGTTCCAAAGTGGGGGGTCCCAAAGTTGGAGGATTGTATGGGATGTGGATTTCCCAATGAAACCAGGGGTTATGATATATCATGACATATCTGATATGAGTATCACGAACATGAAGTCAATGTATGTTCCCACTGCTACACAAACAGCGCTTTGCACCAAAAGAATCAGGTGAATCCAGAGAAAAGTCCCCATGTTTATATCATATGATTTCAAATAAGATCGTGCTCTCTCAGGTTTGCAAATTTTGTTGCCTTCGATACTCCAGGTAAGAACATCTTCAACCGGTCTTTTCTGGTGACCGGGTGATTTCTCATTGTGATTTCCCAGCCAGCCACGTTTGACTACCGGAGGGTATATCAATTATATCCATTATATACCCAGTATACACCCATGATGTTCCCATGAATCCCATTAAATCCCGATTAAATCTATCTTTTTGAGGGTTGCTGTCATGGAAAACCCTGAAAATGGCCACATAGCGCTGCCGACACCACGTCCTGGGGCCCTGGCAGGTCTCAAACCCACAGGCGCAGATAGCTCGTCTGTGAGATCTCGCCTGCGGGCAGTATGAGGGTTGTCATGCTATCCCTCAGATCCAATATGGCTACAGATCAATACCCTATAGATACCTTTTAGGGCAATGAACACCCATTTACCAGCTATTTTGATGTGAACTACAGGGTATAGGGTTTTGACCTATACCGGCCTATACCCATATATCTTTAGATATCTATGTATACAGTTGGAGCCATGATCCATGGGGTGTAACTGACCGAGGTTGAGACGTCGGTTCATCACTGGGGTTTATCCCCAAACCCGAAGAGTCACAACATTTTTTCGGTTTAGCCGAAGTTTAGCCACCTATCTGTGCTGTTCAGAGGGGACAAGGCCAAGTTGGCCTTGAACGACCTAACGGAGGGTATGGCAAGACCTCAATCGTTGGCACCCTATAGAGCCTCAACTAGCGGACAGCGATGGTCCTTCGTGCCCTATTCTTCAACCATGTCCTCATGAGGTGGAAACAAATTTCAACCGGAAACCCAGCAGCAACCCACCTGCCATCATCATGATCCTCGCTGGTTGCTGGGGATTGAAGCATACATACACTGATAAATCAAAGGTACGTGGTCATGTCTATCTACGCAACCCCAGGTCACTTTGCCCCAGTACCCTGGTACCTTTTGACAAAGACACACCAAACAAGAACAGCATAAACCCTATGATGATCGTTTTACAAAGTTCAGGCTGACCCATGACTAAGCATCAACTTTGAAAACCATTATAAGAAGAATAAGAATGACAATGATAAGAATAGGAAGAATCAATAGTTTGTTCCCTCCATGTCCAATGGATGGTCGCCCCAGCCGCTCCGCCATGTTGTCGTTGTTGGGTGCAGAGATCTCCGCAATCTTGTCCACTGTCTCCTCCTGTCACTGCTGGAAGGCTCAGGCCCTGGCCCAGATTTCAACTTCATCCCCAACATGTCCCAACAATATGAAGGGTTTAACAAACCAAACGGGCAAAAATAGGCGTTGGGTCCTTGGGTCAAAATATGTCAAAATGATCAACTCCCCAAAATGGATCAAAAAGGATGGTGTCTGATTCTAGAAATGACTTGACCCAAACCCAAATGATGGATCCAGTTCTGCAGCCAAGGGCACGAAATAGTCCAAGCAGAGTGCATCAGCGATGCGGACAATGTAGGGATCCCGCTCCTGTAGGAAGAACTGACTTGGAGGATCTTTGGTGGCTACTGAACCAAACATTTGGGGGGAGCTGCACCTCGATATCGTGGATCTGGGAGGCGGCAATGAAGTGAGCTTCAGGAAGACCATGCGGATGGATGCTGTCCGAATAGATGATGTCCCACAACTCATCCTGCGGAAAAAACACCAGAGATTTTGGAGGTGCAACTCACCTCTCATTGGGGGGGTGGTGAAGGGTGAAGCAGCGTCTGGCCCCCCAACTCTGGTCCATCATCTTTTGCCGCACATCCAATTTGTGATTCAAGCACAGCCTCAATGCGCGGAAAAAGGCGTTGATGGCCACAAAAGTGGTGATTCCAATCGCTCGAAACTCTCAGTTTGACTGGATTGTGGAAGTTCGTTCAAGCAAAACTATCACCACTTAGCTGTTTGACTATGTTTGGCTTTCCAAAGTTGTCAGGTTGTCCTGTTGTTTTTTCCGTTAAAAGAAAATTCCAAAAGCCCGAAATTGACCAAAATTCAACTACCATCTTGGCCATTCGGGGTTCACCTGCGGGTCCCCTTCTTGGAAACCTTTGAGGTTGCAGCTCACACCATTCCTGCTTCGTCATGTAGCTCCGGCCGCCGGGCACAAACTTCCTGCCCATAACCGGATGCTGGCTGACAGAGCTTTACAAGTGAACAGGTCTTCAGACATCAAGCGAATCAAATAAATTTATAAAGATTACGAACTCCAAGCCGAAACTCACACCATCCAGCAATCGCAAGTAATTGTCAAGTTATTGTCATGATTTTGCAAAAATCAGAAAGAAAATGGGTGTTGCATGGAGTTTTGAATGATTGAACGTGCCGAGTGTCAAAGCTACAAGACCTCCATATAGTACTGTGTCTGCCATTTTGTTAAAACGGTGGTAGGGAAACCGTTCCTGAGTTTTCCTTCGCATGCAGGGTGCACTCAGCTCCGCACTGCAATGGAGGACACAGAAATAGACATTTCAACAGAAGCAAGGAAGCAAAGACTGATAAGACGGATCCATAGACCACAGCTTGGACCTCAGCACCAAAGCCAAGTCGTTACTTGGATTCTACATACGAGAGCATTACAACCTGCTCGACATCCAAACTACCTGACTTCTATCCCGCTCAACCTTCGCAACCTTTTTCTGTCATGAGCTGTCTCCCACTGGAATTGAGTCCCTTTTCTTTGGAACTTGAACAACCTGTACTGTGACGTTCAAACCTGGCAGCTTTGTTAGCTGATCGAAATCCTTCGCATTAGGTCTAAACTTGTCAGCATCTGTCACCAAGAACGTCAACAGGAAAGGGCGTGGCGTCGCACCTGCAAGGAACGTGGTGAGCTTCTCCTGGAACTCCTGTGAGATGCTGTGGCTTCTGGCCTGCGTCACTTGAACTCCGTGGTTCGGAGTGAGAAGGTAGTCGATGCCAGGGTACTTGTGAGGTGAGTGCAGAACTTGCTGCAGTTCACCTGAACTGATCGCATCCTTCCAAAACTGATCGAAGGAGCTCTCAGAATCACATTCCAGCAACGAGCCAGGCTGAACTTCAAAGCTGGTTGGGGTTTGGACCCACTTGCCTCTCTCTCGTTGCAAAACGTTGGCAGGCAGCGATATTGGGCCCTCTTGCCCTGACCAACGCTGCAGCCCTGCTGTGAGCAGATCACCGGCGAAATCTTCCAATGCAAAGGGGGCTATTGGGTATGTGGTAGGACACCACATGTCGACAAGACTCTCATAATGTTTGTCCACTACGAGTTGGAAAGCCCCCTCGCTGCAGAAGCCAACCTCACGGTTCTTTGAATCATTGCTCCTGTAAGTAAAAAGCCGTGTCCGCAGCTCGTCGCCACCAGATTCCAACACTCCCATCAATGCCGATTTGCAGAGCTGGAAGTTCTCGGCATCCTTTTGCTGCTCTTCGCAATATGCTTGAAAATCTGCTTCTGCTGACATGAGTACGCGGAGATTGCCCCCAGCCCGCCTGAACCTTGTCGCCATGGTCTCCAAGTCTGGAGCGTAGTCCAAGTATGGATGTATGGCGGACAGCTCCGAAGCAGTGAAGCTCTCGAAATAGGCCCGAGTGCCACTCTCCTTCAAGAAATCAGAGTAGTGCCTCCTGTCAGGGCTGCACGCCTTGATGGTCTTGGCATCCACGACAATTTCTTGAGGAAACTCCACACCCGCGTCGATGAAGTAGTAGTTATTGGGGTTCTGCAAGTATTGGCATTCGGCAGGGTCAAACTTTTTGGAAGTCATGGCTTTGGCGGTCCAGAGTCCAGAATCAGCAGCCTTCATGAAAGTGTAAACCCGACTTGCTTTTCTGGCTTCGAAGACTATGACATCAGGGGGGTCCTCACGAATCAGCAGCTCGCGAAGGCCATAGCCTGCCATTGACCTTGACTTGCCTGCTCCAGGCGAGCCCAGCAGGGCAATGCGATTGACCCTGGCACCGTCCAACAGACTGAATGAATGATTCCAAGCTGCTCGCATAGTTTGCCGTTGAAACAAGGTCTTGCCACCGTATCCATAAGTACGATGCAAAGCTCGTGTGCAGTTAAGGACTTGCACGCCTGCGCTCACACACTCTGCCGTAGGACTCTGCCACTGCAAACTCACTAACTCTTGAACATACGCTGTAGCACCTGGATCATTCTGCAAAATTTGGCCGCTAAACGGCTGGGCTTTGTGGGTGGCATGTGCACCCACCATCTTCTGACCAGGGGTCCATCTATGCCATGTGGATTGCAAGAATCCCGTCGTCCAGGAGCGACAGCTGCCAGCACAAGAGACGAGAGCTGCCCAACCAGCACAAAGGACGACAATTCTGTTGTCTCGTCTTGCTCGTCCTCCTGGTTTCGCGGTTTGCCCCATGGCTGGGCGCGTTGATCTTCACCTAGAAAGCTATTCACCTAGAAAGTTTTGGCACAGTTTTTTGTGCGAATTCGTTGCTTTGGCAAAGATGTTGGGAAAGGTTGTTAATGTTGGCGAAGCGAGTTTCTGTTGGTAGCTTGTGTTGCAAGTGAGAGGCTTCGTCGTGACTTGACCTGAAATGTCAGCTCAATATCTGCTCCTTGCTTAATGTGTGCTCGACAAATCGAAGAGACAATTGCAGAGAAAAATTTGAAGAGGAAGAAAAACTTATGGAAACCGTAACAAAACCCCATTCCAGGTCCAAGACTTCAACTTTCTGAGTCCCAAGCCTCACGGCCAACTTTAGCAAGCCTGGCCAACGGTTGGGCTGCCTAGAGCTCATGGGTTTTGCACGATCGCTTCCGCCCACCAAACCAACACTACAGGAAGGCGAAAAAAAATGTGTGAAAAATCAAAATGAACAGGGCATTGTGCATAGAGCTTTTGAAGAATTATCTCCTTAATGACACTTGGCCGTAGACCACTATGTCTAATTTCCACGCGGCAGAATAGATCCATTTGGTAAACAATATATGTATAATATATGATTATATATTATATATATATGGTAAATGGATAATTTCCTTTGGTAAATGGAAAATATCATCTCTTAAAGCACTATGGAAACAGTGGCTTTGGCAAACAACCAGTCTGGAATCTAGGCAATGGTTGGAAATTATCCCTGAGGCATAACTGATGCTCTCAGTGGCGCAGGGCAAAATTTGAGGCAGCTCACCCACTAAAACTGTTCCATTACTGCCACTCTCCCCCAAAGATTAGTCCCAAGCCAATTCACAATTCAAACAGGTCAACACGGGTCAAATCCCTTGGGCTCACCTCACCTTTGAGAAAGGTGACCGTTTCATTATCAAAATATCCATGGATTCATCTGGGGCTGCAAAATGTCACACCAACGAGCCACCAACAAACTGGGTCACTGGGTCACTGGGTCACTGGGTCACTTCTTCTACAAGTCTTACTAAAGTACCTACAAGAACAGAGATAGCTTGGGACAAACACACGAAAAGCCAATCAGCAGGACCCCCGGGACCCCCGGGCCTGAACCAAGCACGCGCCGACTCATGCACCTGTTTGGCCGTCATCATGAAGTGGATGTAGAACAAATCAATGTCCTGCGCGGAGAGGCCAGGCCTCAAGGCATTACTTTCGAACTCCCGAATCTCTGGGAATTTTTGTATCAAAGAAATCTCGGCAAAATGGGCATTGGAGGTGTTCCCAATCTCAGAAGGTTTGAGAAGCTGAAAATCCCAGGGCCTGCGTCTTGATGCGACCCCGGTACTCTTGGTAGCAGTTGTTGTTCAGGAAGATCTAGCAGTGACAGAAGGCCGTGAAAATCAGTGGCAACTTGACCCATTTTCCAGGCCTGGACTCAGTCTCAAGTTGAAGGACTTCCAAAGGGAACATAGTCAGTGGCTTGGCTATCAGTTTCCCCAAAAAAACACCTCGGCAACGCTAAAATACCTTGGTTTTCATATCAAAATCAAAGTCTACTTGTTTCGCTGCAAAATTGTCAGATACGTATCAGGACTCATTAATGGCCCACCCGCGCCCCATGGGCCTTCATCTGGTCCGACACCTTTCCTCGTGACTCTCCCTCTTCCTGTCAGGCTGATCAGCTGACGTTCCCTTGTGCCCGACCCTCCAAATAGCCTGGAAAAAGTTGATGTTATTAGGAGGCTTCTACATTGGTGCATGACGCATCATGGTTTTATAAGTTTTATTCATGTGAAACAATTAAGCCATCAACCTGCCAAGCCAAGGCTTGCCGGCGCTGAGAAATCGCATGAGATAACAACGGTTGAGGCTGGACGAGCAGTGACAGAAGCCAGGCACCAAAAGGACTCAGTTCTGTACAGCAACTGGTGAAGGGATCCACCAAATGCCTTGCTTCAGAAATCAACCTCTCCCGCAAATGTGCCTGTGCAAGCCATTTCTGAGCCTCCATGAACTTTTGCCTCCAGAATCGACGCTTCCCGGCCACATGTCCCCAGGTTTTTTTTGGCAACGGAAAATCCCCGATAAATGGAGTTTGACTGGGAAAAAAACATCACTTTTTTCAATGGTGGATGTTCCATAGCCACGCTTGACTGGGGCAATTTCAATTATTTGCCAGTTGTTTACTGTTTTTCTCATGCCTTAAGCTCATTCCAAACATCCACCACCACCACCACCACATCGTTGTGCACCTCTTTCTCACAAGGTATCTCTCCTCTGCTTCACGAATCTCCATCACTTTCACCTGTTGCAAAATCCAGAGACTCCCGGGCGAAAGATTTTTTTTGTTTGATCTAATGTTTCTTCATGTTTTTGGTTGAATTTCTGGGAAACCATGGAATAATAAAAAACGTCAATTCGAAATCGATTTTGAAAATCTATCTAAAAAGAAAATGTCCTGGAGCTGGAATCCGATCTGCTCTGCCCACCTGATCATGAAGACAATGTCCGAAATACCATCGATCCAGAAAGCTTTCCTGCCATCGAGTGATGGGACGACAGGCTAAGCCCGGGGAACTGGTAAGTCATACTGCAAAGGTCAGCGCTTATAAAAGGGGTGTGAAAATTGGCTAGTTCAAACTGCAAAGGTTTTGAGTTTCAAACCTCAATTGTTCCATGAAAATTGCCATATTTGGGGGGGTTCATCCACAATTTTCACCTAAGCAAACGTCCTCCTTTCGGGCAGTGGCGGTGTCTGCGACCATCACCATTGGCTCAGGGATGGGCTCCTGGCATTTTCGGTCGGCCAGATCTTTTTCCATGTCCATCTCAGCAGTTCTTTGTGCCTGTTGACATACCTCCATCACCAACCTCGTCTTTGATATATAAGCGGGTAAGAGTCCTCGGAATATTCATCCAGCAACGACGCTTTTTGTATCAAGAAACCCACCAAACCATCCCTCCATCCATGATGCAATTATAGGCAGCAAATCAGATCTGGCTGATCTACTTTAGACATGAGCCCATCTCAACTTGGTGCTCACGCAGAAGGAATTGTGAATTTCCAGCAGCGTTGATCCAACGTCTCGAAAAGTGAAGAGAATCCCTGGAAAACAAACGATGCTAGAGACAATCCGAGAGGTTTTCAAATTCACTTTCTTAACAAAAAGTGGTGCAGCATGTCCCAGAATGAAAGGTTCCTGGTTCCCCCAATGCCTTAGCCCAGTCCCCAAGTCTTGCTGTTTAAATATGCCCTCGTTTTCTGAGTCCAAAAATGTCGGTGGCTCGAAAGCACCAATGGTTCCCAACTACTTGGAGGATCATCCCAGGGTCCTCGTAAGTGGTTCATCACCCTGGTTAGTAAGTGTAAGTAGCCATTCAGTGGATGATCCCATTTGTAGCTGGACGAACTCCAGTTACGAACCACTTACGAGGACCCTGGGATGATCCTCCAGATATTCCCATGTTTCGCAGACGGCTTTTGCGGCCTCCGGTGGTGGCAGGGCAGGGCGCTCCTCCTGGATGTTTCTTTTGAAATATCCTAACCTAAAGGTAGGGATCTATAGGGATATTATGGGGACATACTGGGATATATACTGTGATTTACCCTCTGCTAATTTCACATAGCTATCGAAAATCGGTGTTTTTTTTATGGGTCTATCTTCTATTTTGATGGGCCATTTTCCATAGCAAACTGTGAAATTACCAGGGGGTATACTGTAAAATATGACCAGAGCAGGATAGCAATATTTTGGGACCCTTGGGGTTTACATGAACATTCCTGGGTATTGTAAATATCACTATTGGGCAGACCCGACCATCCTTTCACCACCATTTCACACGCAGTTCCTTTGAATGTTGGCAACACTGCCCTCGACCTTTCTTTCCATATTGCCTGGCGTGTTCCTCGAACCTGGCTTGTGCCTGGTCTTCTCTAATTTTGCTCTAAGTCTTTTGATTTCCAAAGCTGCTTTCGAAGTGCAGCTTTCCAATCGGATGATGCAACATGAAAGACTTTATTTGTCTGTGCAACATCTCAATTTTGAAACCTAGATTGTTAGTTTTCCGGACCCTAAAATCATGAATGTTGCAAAAACAGCAAAAAAAAACAAAGGAAAAATGAACATGTAAATGGCTGCGTAAGATGAAACAAAGATACACTTCTGAAAGGTGCAAATCAACTGAAGCAGAAACCGACGCGGGTTTCTATATACGTTAAGCCTAAAACCCTATAGTCTGATAAACCCAATTGTAAACCATCCCCAATACTACCACCCAAATAAAAAATGTTTATGGCATCGGGATTACATTAATCAACATGTTGAAGGGTTGAAACTACTAAAGATATCCAGTATACATCCCCTATCCCCAATCTATCCCTATATTTCCATAGTATCCCACCTTTTGATCACCATTCATGGCTCCTGATCTTTCAGGGCTCGCTGCTGCGAGAGGCGCCTCGCAAAACGCCGAAGGGATGTGTATATCGGAGATCTTATTTTTTGGTGTATGTAAATGTGTATAATATATATATACACTATCAAAAATCCATACATGTGTACTATATCTGTATTTTACTATCATATATATATGTGCAAGATGTGTATAGGCCTGTGTAGATGTGCAATGATCATGTTTCGTACTCCAACTAGTGTACAGTGTACAGTTCTTTCTGTACAACTATCACGATCATGGTTCAATTCAGGAAATGAGACATGCTGCAGAGACATGATCTCTATACCCATGGAGTTATCGAACAAGCAATCCACCAACGCTCGGACTCCACTCCACTAGGGGGTCAACGCCTTGGAATTGTGGTGTTTCACCCTCCATGTTGACAATTTATTTCCTGCTAGTCCTGTCGACCCACCTTCATAGATCCCTAAACCAGGGTTTCAATTCAGTATGTATTGCAGAGATTGGATCCGAGGGTTTACAACATGGGGCGGTTGATCATTGGCCGCACCTCTTTTCTTGTGCGTCTTCCTTTTGATGTTCCTGGAAGGCAGTCAAAGGCCGCAAACTTCTTTCAACTGCCATAGGATTGACGGGTTGGCCAAACCAAACATGGCGATATCCCAACGAACAAGGGCAAAACATTAGGATAAGGAATGAAACTATTAGAAAACATGTTTCTCCCAATTTAGAGATGAGACTCCTAACCGCCAGCTCAATCTGTTTATTGAGAATGGCATGGAAACCCATGACATGTAGGTTTGCGAAAATCAAGCGATGTCCGTGTTTACATGAGAAAGGCAGATCCATAACCAGACACGATGCGGATGACCAGGAATGATTGGGATGAAACTAACCAGACCAATCTTCAGTCAGAAGGTCACCCAAGACATCCCAAGATGTGCAGAAATGTGAACGAACCATCCATTCACGGTCGCAGGGATCTGCTATGACCTCATCTAGACAGGAAGGCGGTCCGAAACGGAAAATTCCCTACTGTATACTTGCGACGTCTACCTCCTACTGTATAAAAGTCCAAAAATATCCAAAATGAATCTTCAAGAGACCCCAAACAGTCTGGAGGCTGACAAAAACTCCTGACAATAACCTCTACAAGAACTTCATACCAGGACCTCTAAGAGAAAGTCACAAGATCACCAAAGAAGGACCTTCTGCAGGGTCATATAGGGTCGTTTAACAAGAACTTCCTAAGAGCTCTCTGACGCAGGGGTATTCACGGTCTTGATGTAAGGACCTCTTCTTGCAAGATCCTTTTCCAAGAACCTCCCAAGAGAGGTTTCATGCAAGCACCTCCAAAACAGGAGATTTTCAAGATCTTCAGGTAAGGAACTCTTAGAAGATTTCACCAGGATCTCCACAAAACCTTCTCACAAAGACTTCCACACGGTCTGGTCAAGGTCTTTATGCCATGACCTCGAAGAGAATCTCACAAGATCGTCATAGAAGGACCGTCTAGAGCATTCATAGGGTCTCTTCGCCAGGATCTCTAAGAGTGAACTAAAATCAGCACCGCGCCACAACAAGAACGATCCGACGCAGACAAACTGATCAGAAGGTTGTGCAAGCGATATCAAAATGAGCACCACCGTACAGAAGAGCGATCAATGCGCGGGAAGTGACAAGAGGCTCACGTGGGCGATCTCAACATGAGCACCACGCCACAGCAAGACTGAAAAAATCGACGTCCGAAGCAACGAGGGACATTACAGTTCCGTTACAATTCACGATGTTCAGGTTTGTTTACAAGAAGTATTGCGCATGCCACAAAAAAATGAAGTTAAGGCATCCGAAGTCTTGCACTTGCCACGACAAAATGACCTCAACATGCCCACTTCAAAAATGAAGACAGTCTCACAAGACCAACAGGCAGGCTTTCACAACATCGTCCAAGTCAACCAAATGTTGCGCCTGACACAAAACTGGCGGCACCTCGTATTGTGACCCACGCCTGCCAATGTTTTAGCAATGTGTCCGATGTCCTGCGCCTGCCACACGAAACAAAGTTGTGACCCTCCAAAACTGCCAAATCTCTTGCCCCTGCCACACAAAAGGCAGATAGCTCCAAAAACGGACACTGCACGCAGCCGAGAACACAAAGACTTCCTTTAAAAACGGAAGAACCAGGAACTTTTGTCCTGCAAGGGTCACCAAAAAAGGCGAACATGTATGTGCGAACCCTCGATCAACCCAGCCTCAACCACTACCGTAAAAAACCCGAAGTGTGAGCACACTGTTTGGGGAAAAATTGCAAGGCACAACACCATCAAAAGATTATAACATTTAACTTGGCTAATTACCTTTCTTGTGGGCCCTCCACATTCAAAAAGAAAAATGATGGTTCAAGACTCAAAGCAGCCCCCAAAATAGGATGGTTTTATGCACATCACCAGTGGTCACCAAATGGTCATTTCGCCTGCAAGAGCTCGAAGGCTCGGTTCATGCCGCCAGTGCCCTTGGCATGGTGAATGGTCACACCCCTGTCATCAAGCGCCTGGTGAGATTTCATCAGTTGATGAGTACAGTATGTTCGGACTACCTCGGGTTTCCCCTTGTGGATTGGAATCTTGGTCAATGAAAATGAGGACTTGACTCACCGGAAGGATGTTCCGAGTTGATGCAGAGATTTGGGACTATGGGAGATCCCCCCCAAAATCCATCATTTGAAAAATCTATTTTATATATATATATATTTATTTATTTATCGGTGTGTTATTGGCTGACAGTTGACAACTGCACTCCGACCTTGAAACCTCCATGCCTTGGTCAACCGTGGCGTCCGCAGCAGCTTTTTAACGCTGGGGGTCAAGTTTGTTTTCGGCCGCGCACTTACCCCTATGATGGGCCGCCTGGTTCCAGAGATCTTGGCAATCAACACTTTGACCAGTGAGGCCGTTCCAGATCCTGAGTTTCTCCCTCGAAAGAAGGTCAGCAGGATTGGATTGACTGGGCACTCGCTCCAGCCAGAGTTGGCACAAACACTCCTCTTCCACTTGGAAGATATAGGCCAAGAGGTGGCTGTTCTGAAGGTTGTTGGACCAGGTCTTAAGGAACGCACCTCGTACTGATTCACTGTCAGTGAACGAAACGATCCTATGGTTATTGAACCTAGGACACCACAACTGAACGGCCGCTAGGAGAGCCAGCATCTCAAGTTCCTGGATGACAGTCACCTGCCCGTCGCAGCGAACTGTGTCAAGAAATTGCTGTCCTAGCTCTTCACTGAAGAAGGATATAGGTTCCCCGGCACTGTTGTATACAACACCTCCTATTCCAGAGTAGCCTCCGTCATTGAAAGAAGCGTCAACATAAATGTGCACATGATCACTCATTGATCCCACTATCTTTCTGGGCACGTTCGCACTTAAATAGTCACGGATGCCTTGGAGGGCACATGAAGTATCATTGGTCAGGTTGACCCTGCCGGTACGAACGTGATTGGAGAGGTGCCTAACTTGGTTTCGGACGTACCTGCCAAACAACTGGCCAGCTGCAAAGATTAGTCTGCCCCTCAACTTCTCACCTTCGCTTCTCGTCAAGCGCCCTGTCTTCAAAATCTCATCAAGGCTTTCGCATAGCTCAAGGACTCTGTCTTCGGTATTGAGGACATATGCCATCCCACTGCCTGAAAGCTCCAAATCAAATTTGACTCCAAGTACTTTGCATACCGTGTCATACGGCACAAGTTTGTCACTGGAAAGTCTCCATCCCAGGATGGAGAAGAGGGCTGATATCACGAGGTCAGTGTGACGAGACGTCTCTTTCTCAGTGATGGAGAAGAAGTCATCAAAATAAGATGACCAGAGCAGTCCCAGCAACTTCGTCCCAACCTTCCAAAGAGCAAGAGCCAACCTAAGAAATGCCGTCACAGATGCCACGGAGCCAAACGGAAGGACTCTTTGTTTGTACACTTCAGGTCCACGAGCGGTGGGGCTGTACACCACCAAAAATGAATCCAGTTCAAAAGCTTCCTCACTTAAAGGCACCTGCTTGTAGGCATCTGCTAGATCCCATGCCTTGGCTGACAGCTCTATCTGGAGGCCTTCAGCTTCTGCACAGCGCATCGTGCACGCCACCATGGCTGCTATGTGGTCAACTGTGTGTACCGACACTGTCTCTGATTGGGACACACTGCTGTTGACAAAGGAAGCTTTGTAGTCATCTATTGGTCTGGTTTTGGACTTCTGCTTGACTCCAAACCTCCTGGTCAAGGTGGCCCCAGCAGGGAGGCGTGCCGGGTCGAGAGGTCCTTCCAAGAATCCTTTGCTGACTTCCTTGCAAGTCGCCTCGTACAGCTGTTCGTCCAGCTCAGTGTCGCCCGAGGACTGCGTCATTTCAAGCATGCTTTTCTTGCAAAGGTCTGCCACGCTTCTCAGCTCTTCACATGACATAGTGGCAGGCCTGACCCGCTTGGCAAAGGCATGAGACTCTGGCAATGCTCCAGTGAGATTGAACCCGGCTATCAGGTCGTCAACCAAATTCAAATCGCTGTGTCCTGCATCCAAGAGCAAAGATCTCAGGAGCGCCAACTTCTTCCCTTCAAGAATCTTTTGTCTACGAGTGGACATGTTTGCTCGAATCTCGGCCTCAGCATGCTGGAGATCTTTGGATAGGCTGATCCATCGTTTGATTTCTTCAGTTCTGCTCAAGGCCATGTTGGTGGGGCCTGCATTTATGTACTTATGGACTACTTCAGTTATTTCATCGGGGAACATAGATTGAAGCCTAGTGGGATGACCAATGGTTATGGCTTCTCTAACGAATTCATCAGGAGTTCTATGAATTCCGATCGTTATCGAAGTTTGGTCTGTTGCACTCGCGCTTCGTCCCCCAAGAAATTGAGTGCTGAGTTTCCGTGCTTGAGCTGGGATTGGTTGGTTAGCCGGATGAGGCATTATCTGCACAAATTCAGACACCATAGGTGGGAGGTTTTTGCGAGGCTGGATGTCTGTCGCCGTCCGCAAGGTTTGCAAGCTGGCTTCTTGCAATGCAAAGACAGGGGGTGTGCAGGCCACACCGTCTTTGCTCAGCTGCGTTATCAATTTGCTGGCCAGCGCTCTGCAGAGATCCCAGGGATACGCCGTTTCTTCGGCAGTTGTCCAACCTCCCTCGGAGTTTGGTCCCCAGGGTTCGTGTTCATGGTCATTAAGGCAAAAGGCCTCTAAAGTGGCAAATTCAGGGATGTTATGCAAGAGTTTTGTAAGCTTACGTCGCGAGCTTCCATACCGGCAATGATGGAAAAAGACTTCAAGCAGATTGGGAGTACTTTGCACAAGAGCCACAAAAGGGGCGGTTTGCCACATGAATGAACGGCCTGGGTTTTCTACAGAAAAGTACGTGTCGTGCTCAATGCACCACGTGATCAGCTGGCAAGTGATATGATACAATTGGTTGGCGGCTTCAACTCGGGCTTTGAGCGTGCCACTGAGCTCTGGAATTCCGTCCGGATGCTTGTCAGTGCGGATGATAGGTGGGTTCCACCTGCCACGGCGCTGTATTAACCGCGCTCTGGAGCTGGTGCCACAGGGTGGCGCGAAATGCACATATAAACACTGAGGGGAAGCAATGAGATCCTGTACAAGCTTCACGTGGTCAGGCTTAAGGAGATCATATTTAATTATGGGACTACGCAACTGTGAAGGTAATTTGCAGTCAACTCCAAAGCCGTTTTTCATCCCCATGGCACGTACGGCTGCAGTGAGACGGCCGGTGCCTGCAAAAATTTCTATGCAATAAAATTCTTCAAGCGGACGTCCCTGGCTTGAGGTACTGCTTTTGCTTCGAAAGGCAGATTCAGGGCTTGACAAAACTGAGACGCCCGCATTTGTTTGTCACTTATGATTCTGCATGCTGTGTGGTTTCTGGCATCCAGGCTCCGTGCAAAGATGAAGTCCACGTGCACATTTGCCTCCAGGTGGTGCGTCGGAGCAACCCTTCTCTAAGTTGAAAGCCCAGCAAAGCCTTTCTCCTGCGTCGGTCTGGAGCGACTTGTTGATCAGTCCTTTCGGGACATTGGGGCCCCTTCCTTTCTTGTTGGACCCCTTGCAGCCCTTGCCTTTTCCATGTCCTTTGGCCGGAGGGTTGCCCGTTTTTGTTGTAGGCGTTTTGGGAAGCGATCGTGATCTGTCTCTCTTGGGCCCGGGCTTGTCTGGCTTGGCAGGAGGGCCACCTTTGGCCGGCAATGGCAGGAGGTGGAACGAAACAGATGGGTGTGCCAAGGCTCTTTGGATTTCTGTCTCCAGCGGAAGCATGCCTTGTGCGTCTCTTTTGAGACTGCTGATCTTTTCTGCGATCATGACCCATGCTGCTCGGTCTGCACGCAAGATTTGAGCAAGGCTGACTGCAGAGTAACCTGGTGGTGGTGCTTGATGAATGTGTTCGAAGAGCTCCGAATGGTACGTAGTTCATGGCATGGAATCCACAACACTTCACCAGGTCGAAAGCCAGAGCCCTTCTCCTGAACGCATTGACTGTTTCGAGCTCCGTTGTGGTACTACATAGAAGATCTTGTTGCCGGTCTTTGACAATCAGCGCAGACTGGTCAATCGATATCTCACGCCCTGGCTTCTTCTGCATCAATTCCTGCCTTCGTGTAGGAAACTTTTCAGGACCAAGGTATATCAAGCAGTCTTTCTCCAGCATGTTCAGGACCAAGTCATAGCTGGAGTGACTGCACTCTTCCTCACCTTTGAGGCGGAGTCCTTCCAACTTGGTGCGCTGGTCTTTGATCCTGTTGTCTCTTTCAGCTGGTGCCATTTTAGACTTCACCTGCTCTTCTGTCCTATGAACCTTGTTCTGGAGCTCTGCAGACAAAAGGGTCTGGGCTTCAAAGATGAGCCTCTTGATCGACGAGTAGGTCCCTTGATTGGGGGCTGTCCTGCCGGCAAAAAGGCCGTCAATCTGCTCGTTCGTTGGGGCTTCACCAGGAGGGCAGCATGCGAATGCCAATCTGGCAAGCGAGTCAACTCTGTTGTCGATCAATGCATCAATCTCTTCATTGGTCAAATTCACTTCCAAACCCCTGGACTTCAACGCCTCTTTGGATTCCAAGAGCGTGCCCATGAAAAAGTTATATTCTGATTTTGTTGTGCATGTAATGAAAAACCTGTTTTCCCTACTTTATACACGTACTGTCATCGTGCAATCGCAACAGATCGTGACATGTGTCAACGGAAAAACTTTTTTTTTTTGTGGCCACTCGGCCTGAAATGTTGCTGCGGGACGGAACATTTGTCATAATGGCTCTGAGGTCACACCGACCAACCAAATCATGACTCACTGGTTGCACCGTTCTCAAGTGCAAACTCATGTCACCAAAACCTCACTTGAATACCCGTCCCACTTCGGACAGGAAAGGTTCATCAAAAGTCAAAAATGTGACATTTAACAGTGAGAAGCCACACTCGTGGCCTCTCAAAACAGTGAGATCATCAAACGAAACTCCGTCCAACAATCACAACTGATGACGCGCTCAAAACAAGTTTTGACAAATGCAAAGCACTCAAGGCGCTCCCGCTCCTCTTTTTACCTCTTTCGCAGTTTGTCAAGTGCGGCTGCGAGCTGTCCGGCAGTTTTGAGTGGTCGGGCCTGGGCACAGCGCTTGCATTTTCGGAGTTCTAAAAACTGTGACTCCGAAATCTCCTCAAAGTCATCATTGATTTTGATCCCACAGCTGAAGGATTGTGTGCCTCCTACGGCAGCCACATGAACCACTTTGCTTTTCTTATTTCTGTACATTGTGATATCGGGGTCCCATGACCTGGGTGCTGCAATCATGTCTTGGGTGTCGGCTTCGACGGAGTCACTGCTATCCGAATCATCTGATGTGTCTTCAGACGAAGAGGACTCCTCGCAAGCATTTTCACTCGGCTCTTTGGGTGCTCGGAATGTTTCGGATGGATCTTCCAGCTCAGGTTGCTGAATCATTCCTGACCTGGTGGAGTCTGGAACGAATGCTTTCGTTCGGAGCTGCAAAACTAAGTCGAAGTCTCGAGGTTTGGACAGGTTGTCCCTGCAACACTCGGCTGATGACTTGCCGGTCTTGTGCCCCAAAATGAGGCGTACTTCTGAATCCCAAAATGCGTCAAACCCCACTTCGCACACCACAAAGGAGAGCTCTTCAGTGCGCAGTGACGCGCTCTGAGTTTGGGTCCAGTTGGCTAAGCAGGTCTTTCCTGAGCCATTTGCTTGGTTAAGCAGCTTCGGTCGTTGTGACCGCTCTGGACCAAGTGCCATCTGGTTTCGGAGCCATGAGCATGGGCTGATGGTCGATCGTTTCGAGCGGTCGGTCAGCTGCTTCAAGCAAACGAGTCAAAGCAAGTCCCCAAGGCGGAGACGTGACACCCCATACAGGAGCGACTAAAGGCATGGCTGCTCCACTCTGTGACACAAGTCTGGCGGTCTTGTGAGATCTTGTCCTGCACTCGATGTAACCCGAGATTTTTCCATCCTTCTCCACCACGTCCTGAACAAATCCGTAAACTCTTCGGAGGTCTGACCACCTACTTCTGCTATACAGGCAAAAGAGCATGCAAGCACACGCAACTCGGTCTGTCAAATCCAGCCTTTCATTAAGCAAGCTCGTCTCAAGAAATTCCACTTCTGCCACGGTGAGAAGTCTGGCTTGTGTCTTCTCCCGGCGCTCAAAATCTTTGATCTCAAGGATTCTTTGCACTTTGTGCGTGATGAGGGGTCTGTCTTCCAATCCAACTTTGATTCCAAGGACATGCTCGTAAAATCTCAAGGCTTCAACAAACCCATGAAAAACTGAAGCGGCCCTGTTTGTCTCCTGGAGGAAAACTATGTATTTTTCCACAGCCTCAGGTGACAACGGGAATGGGCACAAATGGAAGAACTTGTGCTTGTACCAAGTGACAAATTGGACCATGGACTGGCCCCTCCTGAGCACAGTGTTGGTGCTCCTGTTGCCAAACACCAGTTTCATGTCATCCAGTTTCCTGTGACGAACAGCATCGTGCAAATCAAATCCTCTGGGCCAAGCTTCTTCTCCGGATGCGAAGACAACATACCATTTTTCAAGCGCTTGTCTGGTGGCTTTCTCTTCAACTTCGGCTTCTGAAAGGTCAAGTTTGAAATTGATTGCGTCTCCATAACACCCTCTCTTGGCTCGCTCGCTCGGCAACAAAACAGCAGGCCGATCTGAGGCTGATGCGACAGTCGGTTCCAGCAACTGCATGATCGGCTTAGGCATCTCGAATCTCTTCTTTTGATTGAACACGGTCGACAGACCAGGCCTGTCCCAGGGCATGACAAACTTAAACGCTGGTTGCGCCTTAAGACAGCTCAATCATGGACCTGAGGTTTCTCATGTCACTTGAGTCCAAAACGCCTACACTGCTGGAGGCCGGGTGCGAGGTCTCTGGCAAGGCCGGATCGAATGCTTCGAATGCATCGGGTGTCTCAACTACGGATGGACTGCCGACGGAGGCTTGTTCAAACCCTGTCGCCGGCCAAGTGTCACCTACTCCCTGCGCATCTAGGTCATCAGGAAGAGGGAGCATGACCATTTCAGAATCAACAGAAAGTTCATCCTGTTCCACTTTTCTGGCACGTTTGAACCGCGACATGTCCCTGTGCAATCTGACGGAGCATTCACGATATCGTCTCAAAGCCTGAGCAATCAAACGAGCAGTGCTCATCTTTTAAATTGTGTTGGCAAAGAAAGGAGAAAGAAGAAACTCAGTCCAAATGAAATGTGATAAACCGTGAACAAACAAGTATCCATGCTGAGGTCTGGTACATTCAGTTGGCCTTCGAACAGTCTCTCACCTGAGAGCTAAAAGAGATCATTCCCTTCTGGGACGACTCACAATCCCTTCCGAGTTATTATGGCCACTTGGCCGAATAAACTCACACAGTGGTCCACACCAACTCACTCGAGCTGGGTTCTCGACGACTCTGAAGTCAAGCTGTGTCCAAGTTCGACCTGAAAATCTGGTGAATCGAGAGGTTTGTCACTTGACAACCCATGGACCAGTCTCACTCGAAACTGTCCATCTCAGTGCCACACCAAGAATGCAACTTTGCACCTGATGCAGGTCGATAGGACACCATCACAGGGTCATCTGAGTCTGTGACATGAGCCTGTGACATACATGACACACGCTGAGTGTTCTGCCTGTCAGGGGGGGGTCACTCGACCCACGACCGCACCCAAATGGCAACGGTCAGCTCACTTGAGCCTATATCGATCAGAGGTTTCCAAAGTTCAGTACACCTCACATGTGTTCTGACAGGCTGTTGAAATCATGTGGACGTGAGTTAATCAGAAGATACATTAAACTTAGTGTGTTGATCACATCTTAAATACATGTCATATGCTGCGGACCACCCCATGAAAAAGCATATTTTGTCACAAGATGTGGCAGTCGACAGGATTGCTCAAAAGTCGACTGATGTCCAAAAAGCCCGGAGGAAGTTGATCTTCGGCCGGATGTTGAAAAAGTCAGGATGGTGGGCTCGGCTTGGGTGGGCTATCCATGCATGAGCAAGCCGAAGGTGCGCGCCGCATGTTCATCATTGGCAGCGAGGTATTCCATGACCATGCCAAGACGGTTGCGGAGGCGCGCATTTTCCTCTCCCAAGCGTTGGAGCCGCTCCTCCTGTCTTTGCACTTGGTCAAAGATGCGACCAAATATGTCCACCATGTCCGTCGCTGGGTACATTTCGATGGTCAGCGGGACATGACGGGTCAGTGAAGGAGCTGACCCGTCCTGAACCAAGTCAATGGTCATGTCACTGCCCGCCGTGCACTGCTGGATGAGGTCAAAAACTCGACGTGAGAAGATGACGAAAAAATATCTGCCCTCTGGGTCAATCTCGTCGCTGTAGTCGATTAAGGAGCGATGGAGGTGAGCAATGGGCGGGCAAAGCAACTGGGAAAGGGGAACTTTCACCGCATAGAGGATGTCCACAAGATTGCGGCGACGAAGGCCTAGATGTGGAAACACATCCTCAATCCTGGCTTCTCGAAAATTGTGATGAAAATTGTTTTGAACTGTAAACTCATGAATTCAAAACAATTTGATACAAGATTGTGTAACTTAAATAACATGTGTTCATGGCTGTGATGTAATTGATCGACCATGAACTCATGATTGACAACAAGCACTTGCTCGTTGTTCGCTTCACTTGAAGCTGGAAAACATCGGAGTCATGTCAAAAATCAAGTTGTCAGCACGTTCACTGAAGTTCACTCTTCAAACACCCCCTATAAAGAAGGCTTTATCATGTTCCATGAGAAAACTCATATATATATATATATGTGTTCGATTCATGTAGGAACTTGGACATGTTCACATGCTGCTGTTGAGGTCTCATTCCTGAACTGAACTTACTCCAGGATTGGGACTTCTACACTAACTCATAATATTAATATCTCATAATTGTCCATAATGGATCCTTAATGGCATTGTAAAAAACCGCAGATTCACTCAGTCATTGGCACTGGCACCGTTGGGGCCACCGGCACTTTCCATCTCAAAGGCGGTGATGGTTGGCACTAGCAGTGGATTTCGATCCACCAGCAGCCTGGGACGAAGGAGTGCAAGACTCCATTAGAAGCCTGTGAGTTTGCTTCAAAGTAGCTCCTGGATCAAGATTCGTCCAAACGCATGTTATCTTTCCCTCCTAAGACTTTAACTTTAGGCTTTTTGTTGGACCTTTGGGACAATCCAAGCACCAAAAAGGTGACAAAACCTGTCCCACAAGTCCCCCTTTGCCCCGAGCTCCCCCACTCTTCAAGCTGACCAGGTGGGGTAGCATTCTTCCAAAGCTTCAAGATAGAATAGGGCAGCCTGTCCCAGGCAGCTGACAAGTCACCAACCTGACACCGTTGATGTCCCTCTTCGGGCCTCTTGATTTGGTTGGAAGTGATCCGCAACTTCTCCAGCTTTTCACTGATGCCGATGTCCTCTGGCAAAGTCACCCTGGCACGGTGGGCGTGCTGGCTGTGAAGAAGCCTGATATGACCGTCAAAAATGGTGATTTAACTTGATGAAACCATCAGAAAATGGTAAGTGGCATTTGTTGTCTTGTTTTTACAGGGAACTTTTTGGGGGGACAGCAGTCTTGACGGTCACAAACTTCGAGGACTTCATGGGCAGGTGCCGGGTCTCCCGGCAATTCGTTGAAGGACAAGAAGAGTTTCCTGAGTTTCTTCAGCCTCGGAGCTGAACAAAAACCACAGCGCTTCGGCAGCGATTTGGAGGGTTCCTGTGGGGTTCCCTTGGGCATTGCACCACCCAACCCGAAAACTGTGCAGCTTTGGCATTTGGTTAAGTGACTTCCCGAAATGATCCCTAGGTTGCATCAACGGACATGCCAACAGAAATTAGGCCAACTGTTTTTTCGAACTTCTGTATAGAACAGGCAAGAGGTGGCTGGCTACCCCATTTAGACCCATCTGGGTTTGTATCCAGACAAGGGATACCCCAACGTGTCGTTTTTTTGCTACGTAGGGAAAACGATGATAGACAATTGGACTTTGAAGCTAAGCTTGAGCCCATCTAAACTACATTAGGACCTGGAATCCGTTGATGGTCCCATTCCAACTTTTAGCATCACACACCGGTTCATCGTAAAATCCCCGCTTTTGCTCTTCATACAGTGATCTTCATATGCCCATTTGAGATATTTGAGTATGGAGCAAAGTTAGTGTACCAACGGACCCACAAGTGACGTCTTTTTGAGGATTTCATAAACCCAAATACAGTAAATGAGGATTTCTTTTGGGCACTTTACCCTCTGGTAATTTAACATAGCTATTGAAAATGGCCATAGAAGTAGTGGATTTTCCCATAAAAACTTGTGATTTTCCATAGTTATGTTAGTTTACCAGAGGGTACCCATTTTGGGATCCAAGAATTTTAACACTCCATGGGCTCGGGTCCCCCAGCTCATACTTGTCCGGCGAGGTGAGTCGGTTGGACAAGTTCAACTCCCGCAACTCCCGCAGCCTGGACGACCGTCCACTTTTGGAGTCCCATCCCAACAGGCTCCAGAGCTACCCTCTGGTTATGTCAACAGTTTGCTATGGAAAATCCACCCATTTTTAATGGGAAAATCCACTACTTCTATGGTGATTTTCAATAGCTATGTTAAATTACCAGAGGGTATACGACTCAAAAGCCCAATTAGAAAATTATTAGAAATGCCCAGCAATGGAATTCTTTGTTGTCATGGCCACAGTACGACCAATGAAAGACTTACGCAGCAATTGAGCAAGCTGTGTCTGCGGGAAAAATATAATCTTCACCATGATAAAGCCCAAGGATTCCACAACCAACGCTTGTGAATGTTTGCTTTGGGTGTCCAAGCATCCTGATCACCCTGGGGTAATAATCGTCCCTAGTGTTCAGGTGCTGCTACTTGGTGCAGTTGCGACACAAATCATGCTATCCTAGTCAACCCCAATTTATCCAGCATCCAATCTGCCAGTCGCAAAGGATCACGATACTGGGCCGTCCCGGGCGTACCCGCATTCCATCAATGCAGAAGGGACCATGGTCAACTGGTTGTATGACAGGTCCACATAGCTTAAGGCTTTCCTCAGCAACTGGCAGGCCAACTGATGTCTACCTCTCCTTAAAAGGCAGCACCAATTAAGTGTTTTTTGGGGAAGTCTGAAGACAAAATACGTCCAGAACACACTGCCGCAACCATTGGCAATGCAGCGGCTGGCTGTGATTGGAATAGTCTCCAAACATAAGCCTCAACCCTCAATTTGCATTAATTTCAATGTCTGGAAATCGAAGTACCAGCACTTTCTGAATATTCGCCTGTTCCACAGTAGCTGCGACCTGTGAAGTGTTTTTTGTGAACTTAGATCATCATGGCAGCAATTGTTGAATGGCAACTTCTTACAGATGGGCTCCCCGGCCCTGCGGTGCGGGGGAAGTCGTTGGGCAACACGGTGAGACGGTTGTGTGACAGGTTGATGACCTGCCGAAGTTGTTCGGGAGCGCCACAAAAACTGGGATTGAACCCGGAAGAATTGGTTTAAATCCGACAACCATCCCAAACAACGCAGGGCTTGATGCGTGTTAAGCAAACCTTCAATCCATCCACATAGTCAATGGTCTTGAATAAAAAAGTCGGAAAAGCCAGGGAAAACCTATATTAGTGCAGCCTCAACCATATCTCTTCACATCCCCAGCTTCAAATATCTGGTAGGTGCTTACGGTTCAGCGGAACGACCTTTGCTGCCATCCCTGCCTCTAGACTCTAAACGATGGAAGGTTGTGTCTGAAAAAATGCCCGGCTCAATCTCGCCGATCTGGTTCCAATCCTCATCAAGCTACGATCTTTGGCTGGTTAAACATTGCTAGTGGGACCACCCTCCTAAATTTATGGGAGGTTCAAATACAGGGAAAACCAGGAAGCAGCTGAGGGTAACTCTCTATGTTTGAGCAATTTGTTCAGACTAGAGGGTCTAATCCTACGATTCGTGATTTTACCAAATTTTATCCATGCCAAAATACCACCCCATCTTCATCCAGACCCTTCCAAACGTCGTGGTATAGCATAGGAACACCCGCCAAATGATGGTTTTTTGAATTGGGTGAATTCAAGTTGTCATCCAAGATGGGTTTGTCTGAAACTAGGCCTCATTTCCAGTACATGTTTTTTCCCTGTGATTTTTTTTTGGGGGGAGTTAGTTTTAGTTCACCATGGTTTAGCTCCTTCTTTACACCCTTTTTTTTGGTCATTGTTTAGTCTTTGTTCATTGGCTTCCCAGATCCGGTGAAACCGGTCACCTCAGGCGGCCCCGGCCAGCACGATTCTCTCGAGAGCCTCGCAGCGGGCCAGCTCGAAGCGAATTTGCCTCGGCACCCGAACGCCGGGACGGTAGCGGCGACGGCGATGGTAAAAAATTGAGAGGTGCAGCAAGCCCTGGATAGATAAGTGGGTCACAAGTGGATCAAGAAGTGCCCTGGCACAAGGCCAAGTATGGATTGTTGACAGGGTGATTGCAGGGATACTTTGTATATAAAGCCCTCCGGAGTTGCAGATCAACTCAAAACCGAAATCCAAGAGATCGCTTCAGGAAAGGCCTGTCCAAAATGCTTATGGTCTTCTGGTGTTGGTCCATTTTCATGACATGAAAGACATGTGTCCATCTGAGTTCAAACCATAGATTCGGCATTTAAAACCAAGAATACAGAGCGCTGTGTCTTTGAAGAGCAAACCCTCTTAAATCATTTTGAATCTAACATACATATCTGACATACCTCAAGCTTCGAGTTTCAAGGCTGTTGCTACTGAGCGACACAGCCTGTTCTGGAGGTTCCCATACCCCTTGGAGGCAGAATCTCACAGTTCCCAGTGTATCCATCTCCGTCTCTGCGAAGGCACGGATATTGTTGTAGGACAGGGTCAGGATCATCAAACCCTCCAACCTCACTAGCTCGGCAATCTCTAAGCGAAACAGGGTGAAACGGTGTTTGCCTTTGCACTCAAAGGTCTGAGAAAAACAACCAAGCTATGACACAACTACATAGGGTCCCCTGATCCAATCATTTTTCATCGTGGGACGGGCCGATCCTTGGGACGCTGTGCTCACACTGGGGCCACAGCTCCTCTAAGGACGGGGGGATCTTGATGAGATTGCATTTGGCAATCTCAAGGATCTCGACTTGCTGCAGTTGGTTCAGGCCTAACGCCGGAAAGTCGCGTCCCAGAGTTTTCATCAAGTTTTCATCAAGTTTTCATCAAGTTTTCATCAAGTTTTCATCAAGTCCACCAGTTCATCGATCTTTACAGAAGCACTACCTACCGAACTGTCCCCGAGATTCACCCCCACTGATCAGCTGGCTTGGCGTCGCCGTCAGCTGGGTCAGCTGGCGGTTGAGCATGTTCTCCGAGAGATTTTGGTTGTAAGGCGTCTTCAGCTGCGTCACGGGTTTCATTTCTTCGACCTGAGGCTGATCTCCGACGCCGAGCAACAAAAGAAGTTGGAACTCTTGGAAACAGAATCACGTGTTGTAACCAGATTTGTTCTTCAAATGATTAAAATTCTCATTCTGAGATGTGTTGACATTAATTTCGAGCAAAAAAAAATCAGTTCCACTTCCGAGTATTGAGTGGCGCTAAAGCTGGGATATTAGACACCATTCACAATCCATGAAATTATCTCAAAATCACCAACAATCAAAGCATGAACTGTGGTGTGTGACCCTAGGCCCTAGATTGTGTTGTTGTTGATTGGAAACTGCCAATACCACAATTCGACCATCTTCAGGAATTGGTCGGCTTGGGGAAGTAAACATGAAAGGAGTATAGACTATGAAGCACTGAATAAATTAGGAAAAATACGAGGACTATAGACTATAAATAGAATAAATGAAATAATTACTATATAATATATAATATATATATATATGTGTATATATATATATAATTATACACTATTTTAGGGAAAAAAAGTCCCACGATCTCGACTCCTCCCACTCGGCGCCAGGCCCCAGATCGCTTCACCAAGACCCTCACTTCACTCAGATAGGGAGCCTTTGGTGCTCTGTGGTGGGCACAGTGGGCACACAGCGGAAGCTGCACAGAGAATCCCAAAATGTGGGAATCAACGAATCAACGAAGATCATGGGGGCCCAAAGTCCTGAACATAACATACCAAGCTATCTATCAAATCTATCAACAGTTTGGGTTACCACCTCAAATAGTCCAACAAAATTTGGCCGAGCTCCTCACCCACATCATGTTGGTTGAGGCAACGTTACGTTCCTTCTTTGGCCTCTTCCTGCAGTCGAAACGCCAACGAGCGGATCACCAGGAGCTGTCAAGTTTTGGTAGCAACCCAATTTTGGAGAGTCGTTTGAGTCATCTGGCAGTGTGTCAAAACCTTGTACCCCTGTAGTTCACATCAAAATAGCTGGTAAATGGATGTTCATCCCACTAAAAATGGTATTAATAGGTATTGATCCATACCCATCTATTTCGAGCCATTCTCGATGTTTCTGAAACCTAGGGAGTTAGGATTCAATTGTTTGCTTTGTTGGTTCTTGGTATGTTTCACGAGCTAGGTAGGATTCTCAAATTCTACCTCCAAGACTAGGAAGATTCCAATATGGAGCCATATGGTTTTGTCTAAACAGAGGATATGGATCCATATATATATATATGTATATATATATACCTCTAAATCCTGCGGTGATAAACCACCATTTTCCATTTTCCCCATTAGATGGCTATCTTTGGATCCATCAAACCTTAATTGAGGATTATTGAGGTATCTAAGGTCGAGAAGACCAAAACAACGACATTTTATCGGGAACAGCAATCTTGGGTAGAAATCAGTTGCAACAGCACAAAACTTTGGCCAACATCCCTCATCCTACCTCACTAGTTCAACAATGTTCAACATACCTGGCACCAAAGACCTTGACTGTGCCAAGGGATCTTTTTATATCCCGGACTTTCTGTTGTCACACCATGGCCAACCTGCCATGGGGTATCTGCGCAGTATCTCATCGATTTCGGCAGTGGCCGCTGATTTGGATCGAGGGCCTCTTCGCCTTTCCCTTGGTCTTCGCTCTCATGTTACTTCCATCGTCCTGAGGAGTAATAAAGAACGAAAACGATGTGAGATGAGGTGCCATCCTTCAAAGGGCATTTTTCAAAAAACACAGATGTTTGTCTTCAAACGTCCCTGTGATCGTGACGATGATAATGATGACGTTTTTCCAAGGATGAGGAGTGAAAATGAAAATGAAACGCTTCAATCTGAAACGAGAAATCCTGCAGGGGTTGTTTCATAGGAACAGTGATCATCCGGTTTGTGGTAAGCGGTTATTCACTTTGCGATAAGTCAACATTCAATATCTATGGCAGTTCAATCCACACGAAAAAGAGCATCTTTCGGGGCTGCGGTCCTCATCGCTGTCTGAATCGTTCAACTCATCACGGAACTTTCCGCAAAAGGGTCCTTTGCTAAGCCGCCGTCGACTTCAAGTGGCTTTGAAAAATTGGGTGCCCTAGCGTAAATGTTTAGATAGATGTGGGAAATTCCTCGTTTCCCTAGGGAAGCTATCTACAATTGGTAGTTTAGGGAAGTTATCTAGAATTGGTAGTTTTCCACATCTATGTTAGTTTACAGGAGGGCACATCATATAGATCAAAAATAACCCCTTAATGGAAAATATAGTCATTAACACTAAGGGGATGTGCTTCTGGACATGGCCCAACGGTCCAAATTTCAGACATCCCCAACACAAGGATTTTGGTCATGGGTAGTGGATTTCCAGGTCAGTGCTGTCAGTGGATGTTTTTTTTTCACCTGGGCAACCATTCAAACATACAAAAAACTAATGTATCCCCCATGTGGGATATGTCATATCCCTATATCCCAGAATCCCCATATCCCTGTATCCTTGTATCCTCATATCCTTATATCCCTACCTCCAAGAAAAATATACCCAATTATATAGTTTATTATATATATATAAATATTTTAATTTACCAACTGAAAAACAAATTGTGCAGCTGAACCAAAACTCCAGGCGAATTTGAGATTCCTTCAAAAGAACGTGAACAGTTGATCGGCCACATCTGGTTTATGTTTGCGGTTGTGATCATGTGTTATCTTTCCGGTTCACTCCATGAGTACCTACATGTATATATATATATGTATGTGTATATATATATGTATATGTATATGTATATGTATATGTATATGTATTATATGTGTATGTGTATGTGTATGTGTATGTGTATGTATATATATATTTACTAACATAATATAACATAATATAACATAATATAACATAATATAACATAAAATAACATAATATAACATAATATAACATAATATAACATAATATAACATAATATAATATAACATAACATAACATAATATAATATCATATAGTATAATATAATACAATATAAATTGTAAATTATGCACTACAGATTATACCTTATCCCATTCCAATCCAGTTATCTGCAAACAGCAAATGGCTACTCCACTGGCCGCAAACCACTGAGCAAATGGCCGATGCAAAACGCCATGTTGCTATGCTAAATGGTACGTTTCATGCGGTTGTTTTCGATCACCTGGGTCTCTATCTGGAACTCCACTCTACATGATATTCATACTTTTTGCGACCAAAAATAAACCATTTGTGCGGAATTTTGACAACAGGCACCAAATATCCACATATTTCGAAAAAAAGAAACTGGTTGGACGTTAGCAATTCATCTTCAAGTACATCGTCACTCAATATCGACCTGGCCATATCTGCAAAAGGTTCTGAGCCAAGGCACTCGCAAATGTTCAAATTACATAAATTAGAAAAAAAAATGTCAAATCATATTGTGCCATTTTGTTGGGTGTTACGATTCACTCGTGTTTGGTGGGAGGTCTGTCTTGTAAAATTTTGTTAACGTACAAAAAAACGATGTGAGGAACCTGCAAGTCTGCGAGGAGCACAAATCCTGCAAAATCAGTGGTCGACAAAAACTAAAATTTATTTAACATCAAAAACGCTTATGTGGCAATGCATCTGACGAATCGTTGCTGATGATCGAAATATTGTTGTTTTGTTTTTGTGGGTACGTTATCACATGAATCAAAATAAACTACAACACAAATAAAACACACATTCACAAATATACCCGCCGTACTTGCATGTAATTTCACCATTTGATGTTGCGATCACATTTTTTGAGCCTGCCTCACAGGCACCAACAGTTCGTACAAACACATGTTGCCAAATCTAATATCAAATTCCAGATTTGCAAACGCTCAGCTGAAACTGCGCACTGTTTTGTGCCAAAAGGGGCGTGGCATGTGAAAAATCCTGACATACTACTCATGCCAGTGCACATAGATTGAACACAACTGATTGCACTGTTACATATCGTTTTGTGCGTGTCATCCTTGCCATGAGCACAACAAGCAATTGTTTGCATTCGTCCTCAAAGCTTTGAGCACGGCTTAAACTCTTTGCGATGCCAATGCAATTTCCAGATTTTTTCTTTGGAAATCCATCACAAGTTTTATGAAGCCTCTTCCAGTTTTTTCAATTCGTCCTTGCATGATTCCAGACATGTCATCCTGCAAACTTTTCTGGAACCAAAAAGCGCCTGACGATGCACGCTGAGTGACACTTCTCGATTTGTGCTGTCGATGCAAATGACTGACATCAACCGTACTGTTTCTGCAGGGTTTGCACCCGCGTAAATATACAACATCCCGCCTCGATATAAGTTTTTGCCTAATATCATTTCTATGTACTCCTCAGGACTCTTCCAAATCCAGGTTGTGCATTCTATTGGAGTTCTGTGCTGTGAAAAGTTGCGCTACAGCAGTTGCTCAGCCATTGTCGCTGTTGCAGCCACTGATTTCCTTGGCGGTACTGCCTCGCAGAATTCTTCCTGACCATCTCCAGCTCTGTCTGCTGGACCGAGGTGCATATCAGTCTAAAGGTCAAGGTCCGAGACTTCGCACATCCCGTCGTTCATATACCTCCTTCTCAAATGGCTATCTGTTTCATCTAGGCCTCCCATGCTGTCATCATCGTCGTCGTCATCGTTCCCACCAGTCTCGTCCATTGGCGCCGGCTCTGGTGAGCGCAAGGCCTCACCAAATGACCTAAGCAGGTCACATGATGCTTCCCACTTGTCGTACTCCAGCAGCGCCATGAGGTGGCCATGGGCTATCGTAGAAGCTTTTACCAGCTCCTCCATGACCTCGGTGGGATGCCCGTGCAGTGGGGACTCATCGTCTCAGCTCAGCTCGTTGTCGCCGGTCAGACTCTCCATCATCCTGTTCCTCACAAAGTTGGAGACAGGAAGATGTGTCAGCATGGCACATAGCCATTTCTTCCCTTGCGTGTACTTGAGCATTCTTCCATGGTTTGAACTTTCTTGTGCTCTCTTCAGACGTCCAAGGACT